GAAGAACCAGAATCAATTAATAACCTCATTGGTGGATGGTGAATTTGAATATAGGCAAGAGGTGCAGCAAAAGAGGCGTTATGTTCTACGTCTGATCCGTTGTATTGGTAGTCTTCCGAAAATTTTGTTCTTGTACGTCTACTTGTTGATCTTGATTGTTAAAAAAGTTTTCGTAGTTCCACTCTTCATAGTATGGTTCATATGTTTCAGAGTCATTGAAATTGGTTTCAGTATTTACTTCACATGTAGGCATAAAGTTTTCTTCCGGTTGTTCATCTTCTGGGCAGTGCAGTTCTTGGGGAACAGTTTTCATAGGTACTTGGTTGAATGATCGCGATATAGGTTGGTTTTTAATCGTAGATACACCTGACATAGGAGTAAGCTTATAAGAAGTCTGAGGAGGTCTAGAAAAGTTTTGAGGTCTACCAGATACTTGTGAATTGGTTGGAAAATGTTGAGAATTGTGTTGTCTAGGTTGGAAATTAATGGGCTGAGAAGGGAAAGCCTGTGGTCCAAATTGAAAATGTTTCTGAAAGCCTTGATTGAAGTTTGGATGGAAATTCTGAAAAGTTCTTTGAGGGTTTTGGGGTTTGTGTGAAGGTAACGAAGGGCGTTGTTGTTGTTGTTGTTGTTGTATTCCCAAGGACAGTTTTTTATATTCATCATATTTAACTTGCTCATCTATAAAAGTAATGGCATTCTCAAGAGTGGAAATTGTCGGGTTATTTCGCAAAATTGTTTCGTAATTTTGTGGCAAATTCATTTTGTATCGGTTAAAAATTTGGCGTTCGTAAAGACTAATATGTCCACGTTTTTTTTCTAAAGTAAGATTTGATAACTGAATTTTCGTTATTAATCGAATTAATCAATTAATCGATTACCAAAACTTAAAAGAGATTCTTTCGGGTTATATCGTATATATTGCATTTCCTGTTCTAAGGTTAAAATGTTTCTGTTATCGCCAAAGTTCTGAATGAACAAAGCTTTTATATCAGTCCACGTTACAATGTCAGGATGGCTAGAAAGCAAGATATGCGCTCGACCTTTAATTTTATTTCGAATGGCACTCAGCAGAATTTTAATATGAAATTAATTTGTTGTCGGATTTGCTTCGAACAAATTGTCTACGGCATCAAAAAAATTTTGAAGCATCAACTCGTCACCATCGAAATAAGGAATGAATTCGGAAAGGTTTTTCACTCGCGGTAAGTCTAATGGCACTACTGAGGGTTGGTTTTGTTGAGTCATGTTGTTATCGTCTGTGTCTCTAACTAAATGTCGGGACTGAATCGCTGGGTAGGGTCTACTCATTAATTCTAAAGACTTAACCTAACGTTGTGTTTTTCTTAACCTAACGTGTTGTTTTTCCTAACCTAATAAATTTAGTTTATCAATGGCAGATAAAGCAAAATCCCTTCCTAGTCTCAACTTTAAATTGTGCTTAATTTTAAGCCAATGTTCTAAAAAATTTAACTAGGGTTGCCCCTTAACTATCACAACTCTTGTTCAGAGATAGAAAAAGTCCGGGGAGTATTGAAATACTCGGACTTACTCAGTATTTCCGTGTGGTTGTAGGGCCTTGAGTGCTCGGGATCGTCTCCGGGTGTGGTTGCTCGGGGATCGTCTCAGGGTGTGGTTGCTCAGGATCGTCTCCGTCTGAAGGATCTGGGGTCCACCAGGTTCACAAGTTCCTTCGATGAACCAGTGACGAAATCCTACTCGACTGCGCCAGTGTCGTTTGTGGGGAATACACGAAGTCAGCTTCTAACACTCTTTATTGACTAACATTCATGACATATGAATATCAAGTGAATCATCAAATGCATACAGCTTATTAATAATAAAAAAATATGCTAAGCTCAGTATTTTCTTTAGTGCAATAGGTAACCTGATTTATATAACGTTAAGTTACATTATGAAAGCAGATGATACATAAAAAATAAAAGAGCAGTTATGTATTTGGTTCATATAACTATATATAAAGGGCAAAAAATACAATTAATTGTTAATTGGGAAATTGGCAAAGTTTTAAGCTTTAGTTAACTCTTTTGACGATAAAATATAGCTTTCGGCAATTCTCTATGGAGCCTTCATCAGGATCTGAAAACACAATTGTAATGCTAGCAACCAGTACAGAAACGACTTAAAATGTCAAACAACTTACTCGCCATTGAGGTTGCAGCCAAATGGTGTTTCAAAACGAACGTGGAGATGAGAGCACTTGTTACAATTATAAAACCAATATTGTTAACGACAGGTACCATCGTTATGTGTTAAAACTATTAATACACCCGAACATATTAAAAATTAATTAACGAGAAGAAATTTTGGGGACAATTACAATCGGAATGCAGTTTCTAACCTCCTACTTCCGCTACACGTGGAGAAGGTGGTCGGAACGGAAAGGTAATGCGTCAACAGACGACATGTGATTGACGCGACGGAATGTGGAACTGTAAACATCATTGTCAAATTTGGGTATGAAGTATACGAGGGACGCTCGGTAAAACCTCATCCCAAATCACCAAAATGCTGAATTAAATTTGTTCTGGAAAACTGTGTAGTTCATATGAGTGTACGAATGTAAAATAGTGATACACACTTTTAAAATTAATGAATTTAAAGGCAACCAATGTAAAAATAATAATAAATACTCCCGACAGAGACCTTGATATATAGAGAATAAACCAGAATACAGAACCCCGTGCTGAGAATAAGAAAATAAAAATAAAGAATATGCTGCTATAAAAAAAGATATGAATATTAAAAACACTACCCTTGATGAAGTAAATGAAATTATTATATTAATTAATATAATCTCTCCTAATAAATTTAAAGAAGGGGGAGCTGCTATAGTAGAGGAACATAGCAAAAATCATCAAAAAGATAAATTAGGCCTAATATTTATTAACACTTATTTAAATACAAACTCCGGCTTATTCTACGTTCATAAGTAATATTAGCTTAACAAAATAACACTGACGAACATAAGCCATGAGCTAATATTATAGTCAATTAACGCCAAAATCCCCAAATATTTAAAGTTATGATACCTGATAATACTAATCCTATATGAGCTACTGAAGAATAAGCAATTAAAGGTTTTATATCACTCTGACGTAAACAAATTAATGAAACAATAAAACCTCCAATTAAAGAAATAATAATAAAAATATAATTAAACTTAAAAAAACTATATTTATACATAAATAAACTAATAAATTTATTTGACAATTTTATTATATATATATATATATATATATATATTAATATTATTGATCCAAAATTATTATAATAAAAAAACAATTGAAATTATTATTGGTAATGAAACTAATAATGTATAAAATAATAAATATATCCCAGCTTCAATTCATTTTGGTTGATAACCTCACCCTAAAATTAAAATTAAAGTAGGAATTAATCTAATCCAAAAAATAAATAAAAAACAAATAAATTCAATGAAGAAAAAACTAAAAATAATCTAATTAATAAAAATAACACTATTAAATTAAATAATAATAATTATTATTTTTATAAATTTTTTCACTTGCTAATAATATCATCCTAAAAATTCAAAAATTAAAGTATATCTTAATAAACCTCTTTCTAAAATATAAGAAATATTCAAATAAAAATAATTGAAACAAAAATTTGTTATAAATATAAAAGATAAAATAAATATCACATTTACTATTAATCAAAAATCATATAAAAAACAAAAAGGAATTAAAAATATTAAACTTAATAGAAATTTTATCATAAAAAAGAAAAAGTTAAAATATTATCATTTCCGTGAATACGAATAATCGAAACTAAAATAGATAAGCCTAATACGCCCTCACACACTCTTATAGCTAAAAAAATTATAGAAAAAAAATTCATGATTTATCATTTTTAAATAAACTATGAAAATTAAATATAAAGAAATAACAATAAATTCTAATCTTAATAATACTAATAATAAATGATCGCGTTTTACAACAAAAACTACTAACCCAGAAATAAATATTATTAATAACAATATTCAAAATTTAATTATGAAATTCTGGTCAAGAAAAAACAAATTTCTCTATTTTTCATCTCCAAAATTAAAATTTTAACTAAACTATTTCTTGAAATTATATCAATATTAATTATTTTTATAAGAACTTTAACAATTACATTTATTCTTGTAAAACACCCCCTTTCAAGAGGAATTATTCTTTTAATCCAAATTATCTTAACAACCTTATTAACCGGATTAATAAATCATAATTTTTGGTTTTCTTATATAATTTTTTTAATTATAATTGGTATGCTTATTTTATTTATATAACAAGAATTGCCTCAAATAAAAAATTCAAATTTTCTAAAATATTATTATTAATATTTTTTATTAATATGACTTTAAATATTACTATACAAATTATAGACCATTTTTTTTACTTTTTCCTTATCGACAATAGATACTTTTAACCAAAATTTATATATTAATAATTATTTAACTTTAAATAAATATTTTAATTACCAAAATAATATAATTATATCTATAATAATTATTTATTTATTAGTTGCATTAATTATAGTAGTTAAAATTACTAAAATAAATAATGGCCCTTTACGACAAATATACTAATGAAAATAAATTTACGTAAAACTCACCCATTAATTAATATTTTTAATAACTCTTTAATTGATTTGCCGACCCCCTCTAATATCACCACACTATGAAATTTTGGATCTCTTTTAGTCCTATGTCTAACAATTCAAATTGTTACAGGATTATTCCTAGCTATACACTATTGTCCCAATGTAGATATAGCATTTAATAGAGTAGCTCATATTTGTCGTAATGTAAATTATGGATGCTTAATCCGAACTTTCCACGCTACCGGAGCTTCTTTTTTTATTTGTTTATACATTCATATTGGCCGAGGAATTTATTATTTATACTATTTGCTAGAAACTTGAATAATTGTGGTGACTATTTTTTTATAGTAATAGCTACAGCATTCTTAGGTATGTACTTCCTTCAGGACAAATATCTTTTTGAGGAGCTACAGTTATTACTAATTTAATTTCAGCTATCCCCTATTTAAGAACCCACATTGCCCAATGAATTTGGGGGGGATTTGCAGTTGATAATGCAACCTTAACTCGATTTTTTACCTTCCAATTCCTTCTTCCCTTTATTGTTACTGCCCTAGTAATTATACATCTACTTTTTTTACATCAAACAGGATCAAACAATCCATTAGGAACAAAAAGAAATATTGATAAAAAATAAAATCCCATTCTACCCTTACTTTACTTTTAAAGATGTTATAGAAATAATAATTATAACCTTTTTTTAGTATTTTTAACATTAAATACACCATATGTACTAGGAGACCCAGATAACCTTATTTCTGCTAATCCACTATTAACGCCTGTCCATATCCAAACAGAATGGTATTTTTTATTTGCTTATAAAATCGTCCGCTCAATCACTAATAAAGTAGAGGGTGTAATCGCCTTAGTTATATCAATTATTGCAATCTTATATATTATTCCTTTTATTAATAAAAAAATTCTCAAGAACCCAATTATCCTATCAACAAACTCTTATTCTGATCAATATTTACTGTTGTTATTTTATTAACTTGAATCGGAGCACGCCCTGTAGAAGACCCGTATATTTTAACAGGTTTAACTATTTTATACATTTTATATTATTTGATTAACCCTATTGTCAACAAAATCTGAGATAAAATAATTTTTTTATTAGCCTATGAACTTGTGTTAGTATATACTTTGGATGTATAAAAAAGAAATAAAATTTTCTATTGACTTTTTATATAAACTTCTTTATACACTTTTTTAACTAAATTTTTATATTTAATTAAGCTTTTTAATCAAAAATAAGGACAATAATATTTTATTTATTTATTATTAACTAATTTTTATATAAATATTATTGTGTGTCCTTATTTTTAATTACATAATTAATCTAAAATTTTAACCATAAATTTATATTAAATTTAATTTATATTAATTATACAAATTTATACTAAATTGATTACAATTAATTTTATTAATTGCTCACTTATAAATTTCTACATTTTAAACAAAAAAAAAATTAAAAAAATTTTATATAACAAAAACTTTAGAATCTAAATATTAATGTATTATAACAAAAAATAAAATAAACTTCATACCTGAATATTAATATCCCTTAAGTTTTAAGAATTTCAATTTAAAATCACGATAAATCTTTCTTCTTCATATTCTCTCAAAATAAAAAAATACATCTAAACTTCATGAAAATCTTATTTTTATTTATATATGTATATTTATACGCATGTATATATAATAAAATTAATAATTATTTTTTTTTAAATTTCATAAACTTAAATTTAATAATATGAACAAAATATTTAATTAATATTTAAATTATTAGCTACTAAAAAATTTAAATAAACATACCTATCTTAATTAGATGTATAGAAGCTAAATTGGCTAATTTATTCCACATAAATTAACTCTAGATATCAGCCTATGATCCCAAATTATGCTCACTACTCCCCTAACGGATAATTCTTAACGGAATCATTTCAATCACTTGCTACACCTCTAACAAGTAATTCTTAATAAAATTATTTTGATCACTTGTTACTTCCCTAACAAGTAATTCTTATTAAAATTAATTCAATCACTTGCTACTCCCCTAACAAGTAATTCTTCATGAAATTATTTTGGTCACTTGTTACTCCCCTAACAAGTAATTCTTAATAAAATTATTTCGATCAGTTGCTACCCCTCTAACAAGTGATTCTTAATGAAATAATTTTAATTATAAAATAAATTTTTATAATTCGTTATAATAAAAATTAAATGATAATTAATTATAATAAAAATTATAATAAATTTCCATGATAAATTATTTTTGTACAAAACTAAATTTAATTTTTTTAACTCATTATTTTAGTTTAAAAATAATTAATGGCCTTTTTTAATTTTCTTTGTCCTTATTTTTAATTAAATAATTAAAATAAAATTTTTACCTTAAATTTATACTAAATTTAATTATTTATATTATATAAAATTGGTGCTAAATTAATATAATAAATTTGAGTAATTAATTATAAATTACTATCTTTTCAAATAATCAATTTAAAAATAAATTTTAAATATAAAACTTTTAAATCAATATTATCATCTATTATAACAAAAAATATCAACTTCATACCTAAATATGCCTTAAAATAAATTTATTAATTTCAATTTGAAATCACGATAAATTTTTCTTCTTTTCAAATAATAGATAGTTCAGGCTCGCCTCTAAGCATAAATTTTGCCAAATCCTATTCCTAATTTAGATTTATTTAAAATTTTATCAGTATTTTTAATTTTTTTCAAAATAAAAAAAATCACATTTTAACTTTATAAAAATCTAATTTTTAATTAAAAAATAACATATTTATATATGTATATTTAAATGCATATTTATATAATAAAATTGATAATTAATTTTTTTTTTAATTTTATAAACTTAAATTTAATAAGATAAACCCAATCTTTAATTAATATTTAAATTAACAGCTACTAAAAAAATTAGATAAAGATAACTATCCTAACTAGATATGTAGAAGCTACATTGGCTAATTTATTCCAAATAACTTAACTAAAAATATCAGCCTCTGATCCCAAATTATGCTCATTACTCCCCCAACGGATAATTCTTAACGGAATAGTAAATAATTCTTAATGAAATTATTTTGGTCACTTACTCCCCTAACAAGTAATTCTTCATAGATCATATATACATAAACTAATGATTAAAATTAAAAAAAGCTAAATTAATGTTTTAATCACGCCAATTAAAAAAATTAAAAATATTTTTATACTAAAAAAATTTTAAATTTTTAAATATAAAACTCTATAGGGTCTTCTCGTCTTTTGAAAAAATTTTAGAGAGAGACAGAAATTTTTTTATCCAGCCATTCATTCCAGCTTCTAATTAAGAAACTAATGATTATGCTACCTTAGCACGGTCAAAATACCGCGGCCATTTAAATACTCAGAGGGCAGGCTAAACCTAAAATTAAAATCAATAGGAAATGTTTTTAATAAACAGGTAAAAAACTAATTTTGCCGAATTCCTTTATAACTAACCTTAAATTTTTAAAATAAATTTTACATTTAAAATTATACTAATTTTATCACTATTACCCAATTATTTAAAATTTTAATTATAATTTTAATCAAAATTTATAAACAATAATTAACTTATAAGTAAATTATAACAGTTTTATTATGATAGAAACTTTTAATCTTACAAATTAAATTAAAATTACATAATATATAATAAAACTATATTATAAAGCTTATCCCTAATAATATAAAATATAAAAAATAAAAAAAATTATCAATTTAAATTTTTATTAATTTATATTTAAAATTAAATTCTTTTTCTAAAAAATTAGATATATTTAAAAACGAATAACATTTCATTACTAAAAATTTATTTATAATATTTGTACAACAATAAAAAAAATAATGTTTAACTCGTTTAGATTCGAAATAATAAAATAAATTATTCTATTTAATAAACCGTGATACACAAGGTGCAAAAAATTAATTTTTCTTAAATATAAATAACTAATTCTTTCACAATACTATTCAACTATCATAAAAAAAAATTTCTTTAAAAATAATAAAACAAACATTTATTTATTTCAAATTTAAAATTAACTTAAATTTACAATAAATATAAATTTTCAAGTTAAACTAGATTTCACAATTAACTTTTTATTGTAAATAAAATACTTTTATCAAGCTCTAACTTGTCTTTCTAGAGACACTGTCCAGTACATCTCTTTGTTAAGACTTATTTCATTTTAAAATGAAAGCGACGGGCGATATGTGCATATTTTAGAGCTTTAATCATAAAAAAATTTAAAAAATTACTGTCAAATCCAAATTCAATTTTTTTAATAAAAATTATTCTTAAATAAATTTATTGTAACCCATTTCTTCTTTACTATAAACTTCACCTTGATCTGATTTATTCTTTAATAAAAAAAATTAAATATTTTTAATTCTATTAAAATATTTAAGCTACGTCGATATGTAAACTAATAAAGATTATCTAATCGTGGACTATCGATTACAGAACAGGTTCCTCTGAAAAGACTAAAATACCGCCAAATCTTTTAATTTTCAAGAACATAACTAATACTAATTAAGCATTAAAAATTTACATTTTTAATAATAGGGTATCTAATCCTAGTTTAAATTAAAATTTCCAAGCTTCATATTACAATTTAAATTTTATATAAAATTTAAAATTTCACCTAATAAATTCTATTATAAAAATTATTTCTAAAAACTAACTTCAGCTAAAAAAATTAGTTTATATTATTTGTATAACCGCAACTGCTGGCACAAATTTTGTTAATATTAAATTCTATTACTAAATCTAAATTTCTTTAAAATTTAATTTTATTTACTGCGAATAAACTATTTAAAACATTTTTTGAATAAATCTTAATTTCTAAAAAAAAAATTACATATAAAAAAGAATAACCTAATTTTTAGGCTAAAGAAAACCTTATTTCTAATTAAAAAAAACATAAACATAACAATAAATATTTTTATACACCCGATTAAATCAATAATTTATTATTTATCTAAATTTAATAAAGTTAAATTAATTAATATATAAATTAAAATTAATTATAAATTTAATTTATTAATTTATTAAAAATTACAATAAACATATCTATCTTAGATAGGTATATAGAGGTTATACTAACTAATTTATTCCACATAAATTAACTATAAATGTTAACCTCTGATCCCAAATTATATTCGTTACTCCCCAAACGGATAATTCTTAACAGAATCATTTCAATCACTTTCACTTTCAAAGTTATTCTTAATAAAATTATTTCGATCACTTGCTACTCCCCTAAAAAGTTATTCTTAAAATTACTTCAATCACTTGCTACTCCCCTAACTAGTAATTATTAATGAAATAATTCCAATCACTTGCTACTCCCCTATCAAGTAATTCTTAATAAAATAATTCCAATCACTTGCTACTCCCCTAACAAGTTATTTTTAAAAAGATTATTTCAAGCAATTATTTCTCCCTAACAAATAATGTTTTAACAATAATCATTTTAATCTCTTATTTCTCTCCCAACAAATAATTCTTAATAAAAGCATTTCAATCACTTATTATTTTCCTAATAAGTAATTTTTAACGAAATTATTTCGACCACTTATTTCTCCTTTAAAAAATATTTCTTAGCAAAATTGTCTTAATTATAAAAATATTTTTTTTAATTTATTATGATAAAAAAAATTATTAACAAAATTAAAAATTTCTCTCTAAATAATTTTCATATAAACAAAATAAATTCAATTTTTAATTATTCATTTATTCGTACATATTTTAATTTAAGTAATGGAAATAAGGTTTTTTTCAGTAATTTTAGCCTATTTATTAAAAATTATATATACAGGGTGACTTCGAAGTTGAGTCATTTATTTTAACAGTGAGTAGATCTGATCAAAAGAAATGTTTTTTTCCTTTAACATTTTTCTGGTAAAATTAAAGTAACAAAGTTATAGCCCTTTAGAAGTTTGAGTACC